TGGTGAGTGTGAGGAGGGGTGCGAGGGTGAACACGGGGGGTGTGTGGGTGTGTTGGTGAACATGGAGGGGGTGTGGGTGATGGTGAACACAGGGGGTGTGGGGTGTGTGGGTGTGATGGTGATCACAGGTGGGTGCGTGTGGGTGTGTGTGATAGTGAACATGTGTGAGTGTGAACATGTGATGGTGAACATGGGAGGATGTGTGTGTCACGGTGAACACAGGGGTGTGTGGGGTGTGTGTGATGGTGAACATGGGGTTTGTGGGTGTGTTGGTGAACATGGGGGTGTGTGGGTGTGATGGTGACACAGGGGTGTGTGATGGTGAACACAGGTGTGTGTGGGTGTGATGGTGACACAGGGGTGTGTGATGGTGAACACAGGTGTGTGTGGGTGTGATGGTGACACAGGGGTGTGTGATGGTGAACACAGGTGTGTGTGGGTGTGATGGTGAACACAGGTGTGTGTGGGTGTGATGGTGACACAGGGGGGTGTGGGGGTGCCCCATGGGGCTGTGGGTGTGATGGCAGGGGATGGCGTTGGGCAGAGGTGCCCAGCGCTGTGGGGTGTCACCAGCCCCGTGCGGGTGACACGGTGACACGTCGGTGCCAGGGTACGGCGGTGGGGGGGGCAGCCCAGGCTGTTGGCAAGTGGGTGCCACCAGTGGGTGCCATGCAGTGGGGGACACCAGCGTGTGTCACCAGTGGCTGTGACACGGTGGGTGCCACCAGTGGGTGCCACGCAGTGGGTGTCACCGGTGGGTGCCACACGGTTGGTGCCACCAGTGTGTGCCATGTGGTGAGTGTCACCACTGGGTGCCACCAGTGGGTGCCACGCAGCTGGTTCCCCACGGTGGGTGCCACGCAGTGGATGCCACCAGTGGGTGCCACTAGCGTGTGCCACCAGCGTGTGCCACGTGGTGAGTGTCACCAGTGGGTGTCTCCGGTGTGTGCCACGTGGTAGGTGCCAGGCAGTGTGTGCCACGTGGTGAGTGCCACCTGTGCATGCTACCACTGGGTGCCACCAGTGGGTGTCACATGGTGTGTGCCACCAGCAGCTGCCACCAGCGTGTCACGTGGTGGGTGCCACGTGGTGTGTGTGACACAATGTGTGCCACCAGCGTGTGCCACGTGGTGGGTGCCACCGGTGGGTGCCACATGGTGGGTGCCACGCAGTTGGTTCCACACAGTGGGTGCCACCTGTGCATGCTACCATTGGGTGCCACCAGTGGGTGACACGTGGTGTGTGCCACCAGTGGGTGCCACCAGCAGGTTGCTGGTGGGTGCCACCAGTGGGTGTGACATGGTGTGTGTCACCAGTGGTTGCCACACGGTGGGTGCCACGACTGGGTGCCACGTGGTGTGTGTGTCACCAGTGGGTGCCAGTGGGTGCCACCAATGTGTCAAACGGTGGGTGTCACTGGTGGGTGCCAGGTGGTGTGTGCCACCAGCGGGTGCCACCAGCATGTCACGTGGTGGGTGCCACCAGTGGGTGCCATGTGGTGTGTGTGACACGGTGGGTGCCACATGGTGGGTGCCATGTGGTGTGTGTGACACAATCTGTGCCACCAGTGGGTGCCACCAGCATGTCAGGCGGTGGGTGCCACCAGTGGGTGCCATGTGGTGTGTGTGACACAGTGTGTGCCACCAGTGGGTGCCACACGGTGGGTACCACCAGTGGATGCCACATGGTGTGTGTGTCACCAGCGGGTGTCAGTGGGTGCCAAGGTGCCAGTGGGTGCCACCAGCATGTCATGTGGTGGGTGCCACCAGCGTGCCACACGGTGGGTGCCACCAGTGGGTGCCATGTGGTGTGTGTGACACAGTGTGTGCCACCAGTGGGTGCCACCAGCATGTCACGTGGTGGGTGCCACGTGGTGTGTGTGACACAGTGTGTGCCACCAGTGGGTGCCACACGGGTGCCACACGGGTGCCACGAGTGGGTGCCACGTGGTGTTTGTGTCACCAGCGGGTGCCAGTGGGTGCCACCAGCGTGTCGCACAGTGGGTGCCACACAGTAGGTGTCACTGGTGGGTGCCAGGTGGTGTGTGCCACCAGCATGTCACGCGGTGGGTGCCACCAGTGGGTGCCAGGCGGTGGTTGCTGGTGGGTGCCACCAGTGTGTCACGCAGGGGTTGCCACGTGGTGGGTGCCACCAGTGGGTGCCAGGCGGTGGGTGCCACGCAGTGGTTGCCACACAGTGGGTGTCACCAGTGGGTGCCACGTGGTGGGTGCCAGGCAGTGGGTGCCACCAGTGGGTGTCACATGGTTTGTGTCAGCAGTGGGTGTCACCAGTGTGTCACGCAGTGGTTGCCATGTGGTGGGTGCCACCAGTGGGTGCCATGTGGTAGGTGTCACACAGTGGTGCCACCAGTGGGTGCCACCAGCATGTCACATGGTGGGTGCCACTAGTGGGTGCCAGGCAGTGGGTGTCACCAGTGGGTGCCATGTGGTGTGTGCCAGTGGGCTCCCAGGCAGTGTCATTGGGCCAGTGGGCTCCCAGTTGGTGCCACCAGGGCCAGTGGGCTCACACGTGGTGTCACTGGGCCAGTGGGCTCCCAGTTGGTGCCACCAGGGCCGGTGGGCTCACGGGTGATGTCACTGGGCCAGTGGGCTCCCAGTTGGTGTCACTGGGCTGGTGGGCTCCCAGTTGGTGTCACTGGACCGGTGGACTCCCAGTTGGTGTCACTGGGCCGGTGGGCTCACGGGTGGTGCCACACGGGTGCCACGAGTGGGTGCCACGTGGTGTTTGTGTCACCAGCGGGTGCCAGTGGGTGCCACCAGCGTGTCGCACAGTGGGTGCCACACAGTAGGTGTCACTGGTGGGTGCCAGGTGGTGTGTGCCACCAGCATGTCACGCGGTGGGTGCCACCAGTGGGTGCCAGGCGGTGGTTGCTGGTGGGTGCCACCAGTGTGTCACGCAGGGGTTGCCACGTGGTGGGTGCCACCAGTGGGTGCCAGGCGGTGGGTGCCACGCAGTGGTTGCCACACAGTGGGTGTCACCAGTGGGTGCCACGTGGTGGGTGCCAGGCAGTGGGTGCCACCAGTGGGTGTCACATGGTTTGTGTCAGCAGTGGGTGTCACCAGTGTGTCACGCAGTGGTTGCCATGTGGTGGGTGCCACCAGTGGGTGCCATGTGGTAGGTGTCACACAGTGGTGCCACCAGTGGGTGCCACCAGCATGTCACATGGTGGGTGCCACTAGTGGGTTGTCACGCAGGGGTTGCCACGTGGTGGGTGCCACCAGTGGGTGCCAGGCGGTGGGTGCCACGCAGTAGTTGCCACACAGTGGGTGTCACCAGTGGGTGCCACGTGGTGTGTGCCAGGCAGTGGGTGTCACATGGTTTGTGTCACCAGTGGGTGCCACCAGTGTGTCACGCGGTGGTTGCCATGTGGTGTGTGCCAGGCAGTGGGTGTCACCAGTGGGTGCCATGTGGTAGGTGTCACACAATGGTGCCACCAGCATGTGCTACGCGGCCCCCGGGGGGCTTTCCTGAGCCGTGGTGCAGCGATGACAAGGAGGGGGGCATCAGGGAGGAGGGGGGACACCAGGAGGGGTGGGGGGCACCTGTCACTGGGCCAGTGGGCTCCCAGTTGGTGTCACTGGGCCGGTGGGCTCCCAGTTGGTGTCACTGGACCGGTGGACTCCCAGTTGGTGTCACTGGGCCGGTGGGCTCACGGGTGATGTCACTGGGCCAGTGGGCTCAGAGGCGGTGCCACCAGGGTTGGTGGCCTCCCAGTTGGTGTCACTGGGCCAGTGGGCTCCCAGGTGATGTCATTGGGCTGGTGGGCTCACATGTGATGTCACTGGGCCAGTGGGCTCCCAAGCGGTGTCACTGGGCTGGTGGGCTCAGAGGCGGTGCCACCAGGGTCAGTGAGGTCACAGGTGATGTCACTGGGCCAGTGGGCTCCCAGTGTGCCACGCAGTGGTTGCCACACAGTGGGTGTCACCAGTGGGTGCCACGTGGTGGGTGCCAGGCAGTGGGTGCCACCAGTGGGTGTCACATGGTTTGTGTCAGCAGTGGGTGTCACCAGTGTGTCACGCAGTGGTTGCCATGTGGTGGGTGCCACCAGTGGGTGCCATGTGGTAGGTGTCACACAGTGGTGCCACCAGTGGGTGCCACCAGCATGTCACATGGTGGGTGCCACTAGTGGGTGCCAGGCAGTGGGTGTCACCAGTGGGTGCCATGTGGTGTGTGCCAGTGGGCTCCCAGGCAGTGTCATTGGGCCAGTGGGCTCCCAGTTGGTGCCACCAGGGCCAGTGGGCTCACACGTGGTGTCACTGGGCCAGTGGGCTCCCAGTTGGTGCCACCAGGGCCGGTGGGCTCACGGGTGATGTCACTGGGCCAGTGGGCTCCCAGTTGGTGTCACTGGGCCAGTGGGCTTACAGGCGGTGCCACCAGGGCCAGTGGGCTCCCAGTTGGTGCCACCAGGGCCGGTGGGCTCCCAGGTGGTGTCATTGGGCCAGTGGGCTCACGGGTGATGTCACGTGGTGCCACCAGTGGGTGCCACCAGCATGTCACGGCCCGGGGTTGGCTCTGCGGGGCTCGCGCCGTTCCTGGCTGCCGGGGGCTGGAACGGCTCCGTCCCCGTGTCCTTGGGGAGGTGACAGGGTTTGGCTCGGGGCTCCTTGCCCTCTGCCAGCGCTGGCCTTCGCCCCGTGCCCGGGGGCTGGACCTCCCTCCTCATCCTCACACACCCCCCCTCTCTGTGTCCCTCTGCCCCCCCGGCCCCGTGGCGTTTGTCCCCACTTTGGAGGTGCCACCTTTTGTCCATTGGCATGATTTTTTCCCCTGTTTTCCTCCCAAAGGCAGCAAGTTTGGGGAGGACCCGGGGGGGCTGGCTCCTGGGGGGGGAGAACCAAGGTGGGGGGGGC